ATTCCCTGCTACATCCCTGAGAATAGCCTTTACTAGTCAACCATTATTGTTCAATAACCTGAAGAAAAAGATCCCTCTGTTGACCAACTCTGTGAGTGTTTATCAATCCACCTGCTCGTGTGGAGCTAGGTAGCTCGTTCGACACGAGTTTTGTCCAAGAGGGCGCAAGAACACTATCCTGCATGGTTACGAAAAGGTGGAAGTGGAGCAATAAGAAGCGCGACCATTGAACGGAACATCTGGTCGATAATGATTACCCTATCTCTATAGCCTCCGCCTTCAAAGTCATCTACAAGGCAAAGAGTAATCTACCCAAATCCCTACGTACCCGACTCATCTGTATTGCTGAAGCCATCTTTGGCTATCGAAACAGAAAAGCCAGATCTCTGTGTACAGAAACAGTTTATTCAACCCCTTCAACTTTCATGGTCTTAATCTCTCTATGCTAAAGTATGGTAATCCACAATCATATTTTAGCTCTACCAATTTTTCATTTTTTTCATTTTTGTCCATTCAATTTGTATACTCTTCCTTATTAACTCAATTGTTACTATTACTACTCTCACTTTCAATTGCCTTCGGTATTATTTCACTTGTTCCACTTGTCATTCTAAATCAATTCCTTTATGCAACGTTTTTATTTTATTCGATTTGTCTACTAATCTTATAATTACACACCTTTTTCAAGTTCTATTCATCCTATGAATTATTCTATATATGACATTAATTTGCTTTGCCACTTGACATTTAACTATGATTATAATCACAAACATTTTAGTTTTAATTGCATTTCATATTATTATTATTTTATGCATTCACACCTATGTTTGTATTCCCTCACCGGATATAACTTCTTAAAAACCATATGTATATGATTGTACAACTTGATGATAAATTCGTTGAAAAGAGTCTCTTCGCTGAATCATTTGTTTTGATTTTCCATATGTTACAATGGGAGTTTTCCATGAATTATATATACCACAAACCTTAACGGTTTCAAGAGTACAAAGCACAACGCTTAATAGAAAGCAAGGTACCGCTATCAGAGCGGAATAACGTCAAAGCCAAAATTGCGAACTAGCCGGAATCAGACACGACCGTTCAGGTAAGCAGTCAGTAGAAGAATGAACCCAAGTAAAAGATATACAGAGCATAGGCACAAAGATAGAATTTAATTGGCTACTTAACCAGGTAGGCTGATACAGATGAAGATCAATAAATAAGATAAACTGAACAGAATAGTACAAAGTAGGACAGTTCACAAAAATACTCTGATTGGGTCATAAGTTCAACTGTCTGACTAAACGGATCGATGTAAAAACACACACAGTTCATTAAACAAGGGGGATTGACACTTTAGGCATGGATAATTGAGTTGCATCAACGCTAGCCTGATCCGGGACTTGATTCAAGGATGGGAATTGAATTGATCTTACACTCTGCATAGCTCTCAGGGAATATATATATATATATATATGCATATACTGTTCGTCTCCTGTCAATCAACCACGCATCCATCTTCTTATTGGAACAAAAGTCAAAACATTTTCAAGGCTCTTACAACAACTAAGAACGTAATCTAGTTAACTTTAATTTAGACATTAAGGGAAGTACACGGTCTAGCATTAATTCGACAATTCATATCGAAATAACTCAAACTGCTCTGCTTTTTACTTGGTCACCAGTAGTAACACAAGCAATTTATAGCAATGTGTATAGCACAGTGAATCAGTTCTTTGCTTCCATCGTGAAGTTATATACTCGAAGACGAAAATACCTGGTAGACGAGTACACCTCTTGTGTAAAACAAAAGCTATAAACAAGACTAAATTAGTTCAAGTATGTTTATTGCTTATTTTGTTTCTGCATTCATGCATAATATATCAGCTGAGATTACAGGATGCACATAATTTGACAAAATTGTAATCAAGTTGAAAAACAGTAAATTTTTATCACTAATTTGAGAGGAGATTGAAAGGACATTATTGTGAGTAGGACAGCTTCAGCGAAAGAAATACAGAATACACGAAATCAATGTTCAAATATACACATCAAGTTGTTTCGAATGAACACTGAAAGGATAAATGATCTACAACAAATACTGAGTATCAATGAAGTAGCGAAGACATGATTTGTATTTCTTTTTTTTTGAAAATAAGATAAATTTGACAAATCTTAATTCTGTTCACAGTGTGAAGGGTATATATGTGATGAGAACGTTTCAATAATGAACACATCTGATTGTTAGAATAATGAGATGAATAAGACGATGGTAATACAAAGTGATATGAGTACTCTACTGTCTGGAATACATTTAACTTGTATTGATGCAAACTGGAATTCGTCCGAGATGGTTGTGCTGTAAAAAAAAACAAATAGCAGTAAAACCAACAATTACAATAAATGTGAGATTGATGGCATATTCTTGATGTTAAATGGAAAACTTCAAAATTTTTGACAAAGAAACTTGAATACTATACAAACTTAGTTTATTTTTATAGGTAGACTGACAGTGTGTAATAATGTGTGATATAAGTTGCTCCAAATACATCACTTCAAGTGATGTATTTGACAGACGTTCCTCTCGTTTGGATTTGAGCTCAGCATTGATGTGCCAAGAGGAACTAAGCCTAAAGAAGTTTAGATAAATATGCCCTGATCAAATAGACTCTACTCTAAATGGTTGTTAGATAGTTTGGTGAAATCAGAGGAAGTGTTGGACCTAGGTTTCGTTCCCTCTGGTACTCTTCATTAAGGTGTATCTGAATTCTGTTGAAGGAGCTCATGTCCCTCCTGAGATTCGATTCCGGGTCACTCAGTCAGAGATATTCTCACTGAACAATTAAGACTCACGGCTGACCCTCTTCTGGGCTGTAATGGATACTTTGACTTGACAATAGATACTTACTAATACCGTGAATCTAGTTCCTCATTCAGCTGCAAACCGAATTCTGTCAGTCAAGTTTTAAATATGGTTGAATTATGCGGATGCAGTACAGGAAAGCGAATCAGATTAACTGATAAGACTTCTGATAGAATTATAGTTTGTAATTACAACAGGGTGGGTAGAATGTATAAATGTGAAGATGACCAAGATTGAAAAACAGCTGATGAGTATCTTCTGAACGCATTAATTTAATATTTTCTGCTGGATTCTGATATATTTCATTGTTGTAGGCGAAATACAAACTGGTAAGTCAAAATTCAGATTGGTTAAGTTAAGGTAATTGCCTTTGAAGGCTTCGTGACCTTCATCTTTGTGTTCATTACAAACAAGACGTATGGTAATTAAGCTAATGTCAGAATTTCATGCGATAACTATTACTACATTTTTTTAACTCTGAATTTATTGGTAAATTATCAGCTCTAGTTGCATACTGGCATTAACAAATGCCTGTAAACAAACTCATCACCGTTAGATATGTAATTCATGTATTCCAATTTAAAGGTTACATATGTTAGTGTGGTGTTATTATTATTATTGTTCCCTTGGGTTCCTACTGGAACATAGGGCTTCAACTGCACATCTCCACTTGATTCTGTCTCCTGCTGTACTTTTCACCTGCATCCATGTTATTCCATACTGTTTCAGCTCCTCTTCACACGATCTCCTCCATGTCACCCTTGCACTGACGTCCCACTCACCGCTTCCCTTTCGGGTTCCACTCAAGCCATGGCCTGACGCGCGATGTCACCCAACGGCTTCCTCAGCGAGTGTCCAATCCATCTCCATTTTCTCCTGCATATTTGTTGGGCGATTGGTTCCTGTTTTGTTCCTTCCCATAGTTTCTTGTTTGTGATTCTTTCCGGCCATCTGATCTTCAGTATAGAGCCAGCGAAGACAGTTGTTGATAAAGGTCTGCAACAGGCTGTTGGAAATATTCTTTGTGACCCGCCAAGTTTCTCATCCGTATAGAAGAAGTGACTAACTTGACGTTTGTATTGAAAAATCCGAATCACTTTGTTGTTGATGCTGAGTGACGAAGATTTCCAGATTGGTTTCAGGTTGATGAATGTGTTTCTCGCCTTCCCAATTCTCGATTTGACATCCTCGTCCGTTCCTCCTGTAGTTGAGACAATTCTCCCTAGATAAGTGAATGAAGTGACCTCTTTCAAATCCCTCCCGTTGATGGTGATTGGCGCTGGGTGATGCTCCTTCTGTTGTTGTTGGTGGTGGTGGTTGGTTGGTTGGTTATTTTCATGACATCCGTCTCGTCTATGTTCACCTGGAGCCCTGTCTTCACCGGCTGCTTCTTCGACCAGTTTGTCGGTTTTCGCTTGTAAGTCTTCGATTTTTTGTGACATCAAATATAAATCTTCTGCGAAATCCAGGTCTTCTAGGTTCTTCACGTCGGTTGGTTCAGGATATCACTGTCTTCTCGTTTCCCACTGTCTGACGCATAATCCAGTCCACCACCATTAGGAATATCATTGGTGATAATAAGCACCCTTGTGTGACTCCTGTGTTTACTCCAAACACGTCGCTGAGTTTTCCGTTGTGGATCACTTGACATGTGCCGTTGTCGTACAGCTGTTGAATAACGCTGTCGAAGGCCTTCTCAAAGTCTATGAAGTTGAGGTAGAGATTTGATTGCCATTCCATGCTTTGTTCGATGATAATGAGTAGAGTTGCAATTTGGTCAGAACATGATTTGCCTTTCCTGGATCCAGCTTGTTCTGCTGTTATTAACATGGACCTAATTCGTAAAAGGTAAATATTTCTTTGCCGAAATTTGTCATTATAAAGACAACATGGTTTGCAAAAACCAATGTTATAATTTTATTCATTATTTTTCTCCTTTGGTTTATCCTCATCTTATATATATATATATTCAGTAAAAGATTATTGTATTGCCACATTAACTTGAAACAAACATACAAATCATTGTGTAAATTATTATTTCCATATTGTTTTTAAACAACCTATTATGTTGAAATGAATAACACATTTAGTTCATTTGAAATACGCAAACAGATGTATAAATGCGTATAAACAATTCTTACTCTTGCGTCACAGGGTGATAACTGTCAGGTGAAGCAACACCTGTGAAATACATTATAGATACCCGTCGAAGGGAACCTCTTGGATAATGCTCTATCATAAACAATTCCTGCTGTCCTCCGAAATCTCCTTCCAGGCCAACTAGGCGACCGCCTACTTTTAGCATGTTTGCTAGCTAAGATAGGTATGTTAAAAAAAAGGTGATACACAGCGAAATATTATAATTATTTTTGAATATATAGAAATCTGCAGTGGCAGATAAGAACTTAAAGTGATAAATACAAACAGATCATGATAGAATTTCGCATAGATTATTTTTTTATCCTTCACTTTCCCCAGTGGAACATAGGATGGCTTCAAGCTAGTGGCTTGAAGTTTCGGTAGCAGTGTGTTTATTTTACAGGATGGGATTGCTAGCCTCATGCCCAACCTTTTCTCTTCACCAGCATTATTTCTGGCTTAGCGAGGTAAAGGAGTGCGTCTGTGGCCGGAGATCGAACCCCGAACCATGTGCATGGTCGTCGAGAGTCCTAACCAGTGTGCCACCGACGCACAAGCAGATGTCAATCTTTAGACATCTTCATAATTTCTAAATCAATTCGCAGTTTGCAGTGTACACAGTTCAAAGGAGTGAAACTTCGCCAAAGTTTTCTTGAGAAAGCAAATCATTCAGATAACATACTATGATCTGAATGATACTACAAGCCGGAATCAAGAAAGCGCCTTGATATTATTGTGAGCAATTAAAACTGTGTTCAAAACGTCATCAGTAAAGAATATTCTATAACACACTGAGATCTTATCGATTAAATTTGCTGCATTCTGAAATTGTACTCTGCCACAGTGCCTGTGTTCTATTCTTATATCAAAGAAAGCTAACATAATTGCATAAAACGATATACTACTGAGAAAGGCGTCGATGGCACAGCGGTTAAGACGCTCACCAACCTAGCACATGGTCCGGGGTTCGATCTCCGGCCACAGACGCACTCCTTTACCTTGCTAAGCCAGAAATAAAAGCTGGTAAAGAGGAAAGGTTGGGCATAAGGCTAGCAACCCCATCCCGGAAAAAATAAACACCACTGCTACCGAAACTTCGAGCCTCTAGCTTGAAGCCCTATGTTCCACTGGGAACGTGAAGGGATAAAAAATATATACATATACTACTGACTGATTGAAATGAGTAGGTGTATGCCACACACACACATCAATCAGTAGTGCTTGCTGGCAGGACGGAGGTGAACTAAGCACCATATAGCCATTTCACTTGTTTTGAGTCAACCTCATCAACAGTGTAATCGGTTGTATCCGAATAATTATGTTCACATAGTGACATTTCACTTGATCATACCGCGTAAATTCGAAACTGCAACTGAATTTGCAAACGATGAATTTTTATTGATAATGGTACCAATCAGCGCAAGTACTTAGCTGAAAAATCCAGTGGTTTGAAGTGGTTCGTCGTAAACAGACATGGAGTGGACAATATCTTCATTTTACCAGTTTTGTTCCTATCCAGTATAAACGTTCCCTAGTGAAATGTTTGTTCTCAAGGGCCCGAAAAATATGCACCAGTGACACATTGATGGATGAGTTTCGAAATATACATTCAGTTTTATTAGCTAATGGTTATCCGGAGAACTTTATCACTTGTCACAGTAGAGAAAAACCGCGAAACGTCGAAAAGACAGATTCTGTACCAAAGAAAGCTATCTTTAACAACCTACCATTCAAGGGCGGCCAGATTATGCAGTTGACAGCTCAAAGACTTCGGTCAGCCATCAAACGTACATTCTACGCCGCATCTCTTTTTCTCATTTGCCGAACACTTTCGATCCCTGTACCTACGATTAAAGGACGAAATTCTGTGGACTGTACTTCAAACTGTATCTACAAGTTCACCTACAGCTGCAGTGACACCTATATAGGTAGAACCAACAGAATGTTCCAATGTCGTCGAAAAGAACATATTTCAAAATGGCTACTAAATCATATAGAAAATCCCAACGCGATTAATCTGAATAGAAATCCAGCATCATCCATTGCAAAACACTTATTAATGTCAGGTCACAAAATCAATCAACATTAATGACTGTTTCACAATTATTTCATCACATAACTCTAATTCAAGGTTGGTTATTGAAGGTGATGGAAGCAATTTGGATTCATCACATACAGCCTAAACTGTGTGTACAAAAATCAACAGACTTCAATCTTCGCCTACCCTGGACAACATGACCTATCTAAATATGACTGGTCATTAGGATGTACTTTTTGTTTTTATTTAACTGAGTAATTGTCATGAACTTTATTTTATTATTGTTAACCATGTTAGTTGTAAAGCGGTTGTAAAGAAACTACGAAATGATATCATCTCGCGAAATTTTGTCTTCTTAATGCCTTATTCATCTGTTTGAGCTAAGTCGAACCTGTTACACCACTGATGATCTCAGCCCCAAACAAGTGAAACGGCCGTCTGGGGATCAGATCACCTCCACCTTGCTAGCAAGTATTACTGGTTGGTGTATATGATAAACAACTATTCATGTCAGTGAATTAGTAGCTTACTGTTTGATGCTAACTTACCTTTAATTATAACTGCTAGAGGCCGTATTAGTTATTTTTTCCCGTCACGTTCCCAGTGGAACATAGGTCTTCAAGCTAGTGGCTTGAAGTTTCTGCAGCAGTGTTTATTTGTTACAGGATGGGATTGCTAGCCTAATGCCCAACCTTTCCTCTTTACCAGCATTATTTCTGGCTCAGCGAGGTAAAGGAGTGCGTCAGCCGGAGATCGAACCCCGGACCATGTGCATGGTCGGCGAGCGTCTTAACCGCTATACCACAGACGCACCGTATTAGTTATAGTCATAGTTTATCACGAGTGTGTTCTTCTTCAGTAGGGATGAAGTTGTTTCTACTCCCCGATAAATCAATACATTATTTTGATCCTCATGAAGAAAACTACGCAACAGATGCTCCTAGAATACGAATACTTAACATATTTCACTGTCTACAAGGATGAAGATACAAGATATTCAAATCCAGAATGGGAAAGTTTTAATTGGACCAACGCATTTGCATTTGACATAAATACACTTTTAATTCTTTCTACGTGTATGTGGAATGAATTTCGGTCGGTCGGTCGGTCTGTTTTCGACATAGAACTTTGCACATATGTGCGCCAGTTCAAGTCGCCACACTCCCTCCATGTAGCACACAAAGCAAGAAAAGAAGAAAGTAGGAGAAATGCATATTATAGACAGTAAACAGAGGTGTGAGACAAAGGAATAGTAATAACGAAGAACAAAACAGTTTCATTGGAAATCATAAGTCAGTCACAAGGAGTGGATGCATCTGCACCAGCCACTGAGAACGATCACTTTGAGCCATGTCACCAATTGTTTCCAACCATCGGTTTTTACCGTCCCGAGGACCCCAACCAATCAGGAAGTCTACACCTTCCTACGTCGCTTAGACTAACTGTTGTGGATTTCATTGACTGGAATGAATTTGCTCTCCTGTAAAGCCGAATTCAAACTATCCGAATGCATACCGGAAAGCCAGATATAATAGCTTTACAGAAATAACGTTTCTTAATCACAAACTTTGATATGATAAGCACAACTTGCAACAAGCTGACAGAATCCTTACTTGATATACATATATGTCTCTATAATTGCTGGTGTGGTGTGACTAATTTTCATTCAAACAAAAGAAGAAATGTATCCCAATTTTTTCTATTGATTGACATGACACATGAAGTGTAGAATGATTAAGTAAGTGTCACGATAGTCGGTTGTTTTAAAAGGACTACGTTTTCTGATCATAGCCAGTCAAAAATATATTAGCATATAATATGATGGTGTTGTATAGGGAGTACTGATATGAGAAATTCTTTAATGATTAATGAACATCTATCTGTATTCTGTAAACTAGAGAAACTATATCATTCTTACTTAAAACGCCCTCCCCTGGCGTTTTAGCCAAAAGTTAAACATATATATATGTACAAGGGACGGAAATAGTGAAATATGCTAAGACTTACTTCGGCCACAGAAATTCCTCCTCCCGTATTGTGAACAAAGATACCATTGTATGGTCCACTTGATAACCAAGCCTGTTTATCACCCCTGTTCATAAATTTAATTTGTTCCCCCGGCTTTAATCTTAAACTCTGAAGTGTTTTCGTATGTTTTACCCAGCTTTGAATATTATTCTTGGCCAAAGATAACAACTGATTGCTGGGAGGAACGGATATAGTGACGCCATTACGACCAGTCTTTTAGAAATGAAGAAAACAAAAAATTGTAAAATTTCAGATTGTCGCATGTATCACATACTTCATACTTCATGCATATGTACTTGACTCAGATTTATTGTCTTTAACACTTTCATATTCTGTTTCAAAAATTTCTTCCCTTTGCCTAGTTAAAATCAACGTGCATAACTGCAAAATTCCAACCTGTTAGGTACTGATGGGTGCTATTGTTTATTTATTATTGTATTATTATTGTTTCTTTTAATTCCTAGAGGAACATAGGGCTTCAGCCGTGCGTCTCCATTGCGTTCGGTTCTCTGCTACAGTCTTCACCTGGCTCCATGTCTGCCCACACGTTTTCATCTCCTCTACACATGATCTACTCCTCCGTGGCATCCATGCACTGACGACCAACTCGCCGCTTCCATTTCGGGTTCCACTGGAGCAATCGCTTGTCTAGTGATGTCACTTGATCGCTTGTTTCCTCAGAGTATGGCGAACCCATCTCCATTTCTCCCTGCCTATTTGATTCACAATCGGTTCCCGCTGTGTTGGTTCGCTCATTGCCAGAGATCCCTCTCTGTTGCTGATCTTTTCTGGCCGGCCATCTGATCTTGAGTAGTATTGAGCGAAGACAAGTGTCTGTTGATGAAGGTCTGTAGTTTGTTTGAGATGCTCTTTATGACGCGCAGTGCAAGTCTCTGATCCGTATAGTAGCACCGACTGACTTCACATTGGTGTTGAAAATCCGGATCTTATCTTCATTTTGATCCTGAGTGCTGTTGACCTCCACACAGACTTCAGAGTGGTGAAAGCTTGTCTTGCTTTTCCGATTCTTGCTTTGATATCCTCGTCAGTTCCGTCCGCCTGTAGTTGAAACGATGCTTCCCAGGTAGGTAAAGGAGGTAGTTTCTTTCAGGTTCCTTCCATTTATGCTGATTGCTGTCTGTTGTTGTTGCTGTTGGTGTTGGCCAGGAATCTTCATCACCACATCGGTTTACTCTGTGTTCACCTGAAGGCGTATATTCTCTGGATGCTTCTTCTGCCAACTTGTTACTTTTCACTTGCATATCTTCCAGTTTGTGGGAAATCAGACATAAAGCATTATCGGCGAAGTCCAGATCCTCCAAGCTTTTTGCGTGAGTCCATTTTATGCCTGTTTCCTCATTGCCCGCTGTCTGTTTGTCGCATTATCCAGTCTACTGCAATCAGGAAAATCATTGGCGATAATAGGCAGCCTTATCTTACTCCTGTCCTCACTTCAAAGGGTTCCGTAAGTTTCCGTTGTAGCCGTTGTAACCGTTGTGGATTACTTGGCATGCAGCATTGTCGTACAGCTGTTGGATGAGATGTATAATTGTCGGTGGCACCCCGTAGTAGCGAAGTAGTTTCCAAATCACCTCTCGATCGACGCTGTCAAAGGCCTTTCAAAGTCGATGAAGTTGAGGTAGAGAGGTGACTGCCATTCCAGGCTTTGTTCAATGATGATCCGTAATGTGGCGACCTGATCAATACATGACTTGTTTCTCCTGAATCCAGCCTGTTCCGGTCGAAGTTCTTCATCCAGGGCTTGTTTGATTCTCTGCGGGATGATGTGGCTTATTATTTTGCTTGGGATAGACAGGGGCATAATTCCGCGCCAGTTCTTTCATTGACCTAGGTCTCCTTTCTTTGGTAGTTGGAATAAGTATCCTTTCTTCCAATCCTCGGGGTACTTTGCCTTCTTTCCACACCTTCTCCAGTAGTGGCGTCATCAAGTCCGCTGTTGTCTCTGGGTCCATTTTCAATGCTTCTGCTGGGATTCCATCTGGTCCTGCTGCTTTCCCAGCTTTTAGCATCTTGATTGCCTTCAGGACTTCTGATTTCGTCGGGGGGTTGGTGTTCACTGATAGCTCTGTCTCCGTTGTTGGTATTGTTGGGCGCGTTGTAGGTGGTGGTCGAGTGCTATTGTTTAGCTGAACTATACAAGATCTCACTAAACTTAGTTCACCTAATTGCCCAATATACCAATTCCCTCACCAACGTGTAAGTACTGAAAACAAAAGGTAAATAAAAAAAACTCGGTTAACTAGTAACGGGCTCTGCTGAGCTGGAAAGCTGAATGAAATAAGAAAATGTCAAGATTGTTTATTGAAAGATATTAGGACTAATCTAGCTGGTATAGCTGAACCACTGACTCAGAGAATCTACGTGTTAATAGCACTTGGAAAAGGTCCAAATAAATGATGTTTGAGTAGGTGGACATTTATGCCTTTTGTAACAAAAATTTAAAACAGCAGTAGGTGCACTACAAGACCATCACATTTGTTTTTAGCCTAATGATATCGACAAATGAATAACTGAAAAGAAGTAAAATGTATTCACTTAGTTCATTTAACATTAAAACTGGTCATGAACACAACAGCAACTATAAGCTGTTTGGGTGTAAATATTCGCGAATACAAACAATAGAACAATTAATATTCAAGTGTTGGTCTGCGTGGATTTGCTTGGTTGCAGGATTTCATCATGAACTGACGTCGGTTGGAGAGCCATTGCAAAATCTGTTTAGAGTAGTGAACAGCTGTTTCGTTCTAGTTTTGGACTCTTCATCAGCACGCACCCATTGGGGCTCAAACTAAGGACCTTTCATTTATCTGGTGGATGGTGACTAGCAGTGGAATCCAGGATACGCGTTTCGTCCTATTTTGGACTCGTCATCTGGATTTACCTGCATTTCCCAGTGAGTGATGATGTTCCCACTGAGGCTCGATTGGGGAAAATCTGAAATTAAATTAAATTAAGGACCTTTAAGATACAAGGCAAACGGGTAGACACTATCAAGCCTCTGCGACCTGATCCAATAGCCTATAAATTCAAAATTCTGCCAATTAACGGTAATGCGCGATCGCTAGGCAATGTCATTGCCGAGTATTTATCCACGCGCAGAAACTACTGTGTCCCACTGGGCATGACTTCTTACTAGAACAATTAATGTCTTAAGAATAGATTTTTCATGAGTTCTACACCATCAATGTCTTCTTTATCTCTTAAAAATGGCTATTTGAAACAAATCCTTCGTGTACCTGACAATAATAGGTTTATAGAAACAATAAACATAGAGTTTATTACTAAAAGCAAGTTAATTCAATAACCTAAGAAATACAAATATAATTCTGTTCAAGGTGGGATGGAACCAATATGTGAACCATAATATAACAGCAGTCAGTAACGCTGGAACGGGAAAAGATTTTTCACTGGGTAACGTAATTTTATTAAGGAGAAACACATTATATACATACATATATATTCTCAGCCACATCAAAGTTCGGCAGGATCAAAGGGGAATAAACTACTGCGATTGGTTAGGGACTGGCCCAAAGCCCAAGGCCCACAACGTAAATTAAATCCAGCTATGAGGAATGAACACTTCTGTCTCTGCATCCATTGACTTAAAAAGTGTTGATTTCAGTCTTCGCCATTTCCTCGCAGTCTGCATTGCTCCGAGAACGAGTGTGTTGCACAAATGAGGGATAAGTGGTTCTCAATAGCATTTGTTTAAGCATCGTCAACCGGTGCAGTTTCAAAAGGTTTTGGGATGAAAGATTTTTGTGAAACAGGTTGTAATGGAAAACAAAGCACTAATAGTTTCATAAAACACTCTAGTATTACTAGCTAAACGTAATACGCTGCAATTTCCTGAGTTCTTCATGATTGTTTTGTCTTTATCAGTCATTTTCGTGGTGTTCGTTTATCAGAACACTAAAGCGCAGAGAAATTATTTCTACCTATCCGTACATATATCCAACATTGCAGTAAAATTATAGCAATCCGATTATTATTGTAGCTGACCAGGATATTTTAAAGTTTTCATTACGGACTGATATTACTTGGAGAGCTATTGAAAACCACCTGGGACTGGACGGTTATTTCATTCTAGTCGTGACCAAGGGATCCAATAGATACAGTATGAAGACAAATACTCAGTGATAAAATTGGCTGGCAGTGACACCATATATCGTAAACAGATAGAAGTTTAAAAGTATAGGTCATTAGATCACTACCAAGTCGCTGAGAGGTCTACGGGTTAATTTCCTAGTCTGAAAGTCCTGAGTGCAACCGCCCTTGAGATCATGGGTGAGTAAGGACGAAGAGTCCCGAACTGTAACCAGTATTTCATGGTTTTCAATGATTCTCTTCAGCTGGCATCAATCCATGGTCAAACTATTTGTAACATCTAACATAATTTTGATATTTTGGCTAAAGACCTTCAATGGGGGGAGGCCTAAGGTTGTTTCATTCAACAAATGCCAGAGTCAAACAGAAAATTTATTGCTGATAATAAGTACTGATGTTTTTGCACTACACAAAATGAAGCCTACCTGATATCTTCTAGTGTTCCCTGGTTTTTACAATATTCACTTTTACAATAGTTTCAGAAATTCATAAATATGAATTTCATTAAAAACTTTTTGACCTCACTTTGATGACTGCTTGTCTATTCAGAAACAACTGTTATGAAATGTTCTCAGTTAACTTCCTGTCAGCTAAACTGTTCACAGTAGATTCAAGTTTTCAGCCCAATTAAAGATGCCATAGTGATATCTTCTAAACTGTTTCATGAACACTTGGCATAAGAGTTAGGCTTCATTTTAATTTTTTATTTAGAAATTTGTGGGAAACTTGAAAACTAAATACCATTCACTTACGTTCCCCATCAAATTTCCGACATCCAAATTTCATAACACGTCCGAATGTCTGATGAGGTCTTTAGTCACAAAATTCTGTTGCTACATGAATGAAGCAAACCAATTAGAGCGAAACAGAAGACGATAATGCTACTATTAAGACGAAAGTTACGACATGTGCACACATCTTCTTAGAGACTTTCCCAGTACCTCATTGTAAGAATACAACACACTGGGGAAAAGAGGAGTCATTCACGATAACAACAAGAAGCGAACAAACGAACAAATTTTAACTACGAAGCAACAACTTTTTTTTTGTTGTGGCATTAATGTATCACTGTTGATTATTTTGCGATTTGTTCATAATACTAAGTGAGATGGCGTTGTAACACATTGTATTTGATGTTGAAAATCAGTCCACAATCATTTTTAGGAACAGATATTCTGGTAACAATCAATTTAAATCCATTTATCGAGGTTAACACTTATTAGTCTTCTGATTAGCGCTAATATTTATGAAATCTTGATCCAATGGCATTCTGAAAATGGCTAATACATCCAACAAAAAGATAGGAAACCACTACAGACTTACCATAATCGATAAACATGCTGAGAGATATCCACTACCTGACTCTAAAACTAAAGCACGAGCACCATTAGTGAGGCTAATGCTTAAAATTTCCAGGATACGCGCATGCTAAATCATGAGAAATGGAATGATAAACATTTGGAATACACATTAAATTAGGAAAGAAGTACAAGGGTATATCGACATCATAATATTATAAAAGAACAAATAAGTGAGTCATAAGATCTTAACTTCAGTTATCATTGTTTATTAAATTAACCTGACCATTATGCGGGAAGATGAGTGTTACTATGGTTTGAAAACTATTACCGGTACTTCACAACAAGCAACTCAAAATCATGCGGAAAATATATTTTCCCGTTAGTGGTTGTGGAAAATCACTTTAATTTGGTCTTTTATCCCATTTTAACTACCGTGTGTTTAAAAATTCAATTCATCCATATATTTCACTGCAGACTTAAAAAGTAGCATATAATCTATCCGAAAAAAACGTCTCTAAAAACTAAAATATTTAATATAATCGTGCAGCTATTCTATTGATTTGACAACCTAAATTTTTTGAAAACTAAGAAACATTTTATTGCATGACAGAAACATGATTGTGTTCTTTGACGTCATAGCACTGTACAACTTAACTGTAAAATACCTGACAGAAGAAACTATGCAACAGCTACTCTACTCTATAGCGATGAGTACAACAATATCCAACGTTTAAGCCCGATGGAGCTCATACATTTGTGTCTTAAAACACATTTTCTGTTCAGCAGCCAAGTGTATGGACAGATAAAATGAACACCAATGGGTTTATCCAAATCATGACTAATTAATGAGGCCAGTATGTAGAGATTGGAAAAGGATATCTCTACTACTAATCGAACCAAAGATCTGGATACACTAAGTAGACAAAAGAAATGATTTAGTACACGTTCAAAAATGAACCAACAACGTGTTTGAAGATATCGGTTTCACAAAGGAAGAAGAATCAGATGACAAAATTTCATTTTTAGATGTCTTAGTCGAAAGAAAAATCCCAAGAAATCTGGAAACAAAAAGGTGCAGGAAATTTATTTTATTTTTGTTTTATTTTTTATTTTTATTTTTGATTACAGCTTGATGCCACACCGTATTTTCAGTACAAGTATGGCATTTTCAGCACGGATATCGGTAGCCCAAATTTCGAAGGCTGACCATAGATATCGGGTGTGCGTTGGCAGGGGATCGAACCTCGGACCATGTGCATGTTCGGCGAGCGTCCTACCCGCTATGCCACCGACGCATACACCGACCGAATACTCAACTACAACAACAATAATCCAACAGCGTACAAAACAGACTATGTACAAACATTATTAAAAAGAGCTTAAACCCACTGCAGTATTCCAGTTCTGAGGAGAATAGTGGGTAAATATTTATTAACTCTTCTGTAGAAAAATAGATAATGCTACAATTTCTCTGAAAAAGTCTCAACTCAAATCAAACAACCAACAAGAAACAACCATCAAAATGCACAAGAAAATTCATTTGTCATATGTATATAGAATGCCTCTGAATTAAGTATCACACATAAGCCAACACAATCCCTTTATTCACTAGTGTGCAAGCCAATAGACCTGGCATCAAAAAAGGAGCAAGATTAACGCCATATCAGTGATTACATCTTAATCATGAAACTATAGTGGAATTTCCATAAACCGATGGCAGTGAACAACCTCTGTAATAAATGTAGATTCATTTAGCTTCATCAGAGACAAGTGGTACAGAACTAGCCAATAGAGTAACATACCAGTTTCCCCATCGTATAAAGTATTTCATATAGTAGGTTTGTCATTTACTAAGAGAATCACTTTAAGTATCCATTATCACATTTCTCATCAGTTATTAAAATGGACTCCTCAAAACTAACTGTCACATTATGTAGAACACTGAAGCTTGAAAGTGGGGTTAGTGATGTGTCTGACTCAACTAATGGACACTATTTTTGATAGACATTTTAATTCTCGTAAGCAGTTGGTTAAAGTAACTTTGTCTGATGACAAACATATTCTTCCTTAGCAACTTTTCTATTGCATATTTTCCGGAAAAAATATAGGAAACTTCATAGGAATTTATGCTCGTACAGATAAATATAAAAATTCGACTACACCATATTCAGGATGGGTTGTATGTGGTGAGTCAAGTGTCAGAAAAGAAATTATCAACTTTTTAAACTATAAGGTGTGACACAGGGTTTCGCACATATTTTCTGTTATATCTTTTATTTGTAATTAATTATGTTCCACTAACTTTTAGATATTTATGATTTTATTAATTTTATTCTATTTATATATACAGAAGGAGCCAAAACGTTGCCCTAAGTATGAAATCGCCAAAAAGGTCGTTTTCTTTGATTTTCATTATTTGGAATAACCTGATTATTATTATTAATAAAATTCATTGAACTCACTGTATTGGGATCAAGAATCCTGCCACCATATTCTATTGGTTGTGACTGAGGTGCATATGGGTCTTTGTGAACAAAACAACCACGATCGGTTAAATTCATAACATACTTGACATAATCGTTTGCTTAAATAACATTTTTTTAGATCAGAAAATAAAGTAAAATGTGTATTCCAATTACTTTTTAAACTGCTAATCAACTCCCGATGGGCTCTCTCGTTCGTAGTACAAGCAGTTGCACAGCTTGGGAAAAGTAAAGCAGTTGCGGCCACCAAAATGACTTTGAACAGATCCATTACACTAAGAGAGTAACGCGAAATCAGAATGGACAGTCAAAATGCCGCCTTCTTTTAGTAATGATATCCAATGTTCAACATCCGTTATCATGTCTACTAACCAGTATAAACTAAATTAATTCCTTTGTGCTCGCCTCTTGTCAATGGAACGTTGGTGAAGAGAGAGACAACATCCAGGGAGACCATTTTCTTTTCTGCCACATTGACATTCCTAATTGAATCAACAAAGCCGAATGTGTCACGGAGGCTGTGTCTTGAAAGCTTCTCTTTCACCGGCCCGAGAATCTCCACCAGCCATTTCGCGATTGTATGATATGGGGAATCTATCATATCTGGTATTGGGCGGAGTGGGACGTCTTGTTTGTGCAGTTTGGGTAAGCCGTACATGCGCGGTGTTGTAGAACCAGATGGGCGCAATTGTTCGTATAGTTTTGAACTGATAATGGATTCGTCTTTCATTTTCTTCGATATCTTTGTTAGCTGGAGCTCCGTCTGTTCGGTGGGATCTTTCTGTGGAGACTGTTTCTGAAAATTTTTCTCACCAGATAATATCACCGAGAGTTTGCTTAGGTAGTCTGATTTGTTCATCAAGACGATTCCGGAGCATTTATCTGGTCGTGTGATGACCAAGTTTTCATTATCCTTCAATTCTTTCAGTTGCTTTCGATGTTCTTTGGAAAGTACGTTACGAAGGCTAGGTTTTTTGTTGATGTAATCGAGGCGGCAACTCAAAACGGTTGATTTGAAAAGGTCTGCATTCTTATATGAGATTGGGGCCAGATCTTTCGTCTGGTCGATTAAATTCTCGAATTGGACTTTCGTGTTCAGTTCATTCACTTTTGACGTTGCATCGCAAAACTCAGGTCCAAGTGCTAATGTAACAGCAGAAGGCAAGAGTCAGGGGACAGATTATTTATTAAGGAAATCAACGCATATTTATATATTTGCATGTACATTACTATGGATAGTTAAGCGAACAAACACAGTCTTCCGATTGGTTGTTTCTCACGTAAAGTTAATCTTTCATCTATTTGTGACTGTTTCTTGAATGTCAAATCCGACGCCGACGCAAAGTATGCTGTGGTTGGTTTTGTATCAATCTTTGTTCACATTTTCTCACGACAAATCTTGGGAACGTAAATATTGACGTAAATTACTGTCTACCAATTTGGCTAGTAGACAGCTCTCAACACACTAAGATTTGCATTGGAGATAGTGGAATTTAAGAATAATTGTACACGTAACGAAATCGATAGGGGACGTAATAAACTTGTGGGAAATGCCTAATATTCCTAAACTGTTATTATTTACTCAGTGCGTGATCAAGCCTCTCATGAAATGCCTTAGTCACATTTAATCCGGTTGCGCGTATTATAATTTCGTGTAGCGGTAAATAATTCCCCAAAATTATTGACCTCAGCACTCATCATTGAACATTGGATGCTAACCATCACTGTTTAAATCAACTTGTTTAGCTGAAGGCTTCCGGTCCACGCCGTTTTGTACTCTGTCGTGTCACGTTCTTTCGTTCGTGCACGATCCCTAGACAGCTAAGCAATAATCTCCCACTCTGATTTGGTCCCGAAATATATCTCGTAATTTTGAGGATCATCTCTTGTGTTTTGCTTTGCCTTTGGTTTACGTGGAACGAATACTATAGAAGTTGTGGATATTAGATCTTGCGTAAGTATGATTCTTATTATCCGTGAATGTCAATATCGTCAGCCGCTAAACTGCTGATTTCTGCCGCGGACTTCATCTTCGGTGGATACACAGACAAATCCAGTGAGTTCGTTCCATTTTGTATTTATTCTTTTGCTATTTTCAAACTAGACATATTTCGCCATGGCTGATCGTAGTCGCTCATTTACCAGAAGTATTTTGGCATTGACCCGGTACGTTCGAATCAGGTGACGCTTTTGCACGTGTTTTCGTTTATATTCATTTATTGCTTACTGTTGATTGATCTTCAATAACGATGGGCTGAAATTCTAAAAATAGTGTGTAAACACAAATAATTTAGAAAACAGCACCAGCTCGTCTAATAACACATTACCACACCTTATTATTAGTAGTTCACCTAACATAAAAAACTCGAACTCTGACCCCTGTAATACAATTGCAAGATGTTCTGTCTGAAAAGGTAGATCCCTCTTACTTAACATGCATAATTAAAGAGATGCGGCTACAGATAGATGATTTAAAAACGAAATTCAGTTCACTGGAATGTATACCCGAAACTACCTCACTTTTGAAAAAGGAACTTCAGGATTCCACAATCCTAAAGCTCTTCAATATGACTTCTAGAATGACGCCTACTGACTCAAAAAATGCGAAGGAGTTAGAAAACGCCATCGACTTTCTATCCAGTGAAGTTGTTAAAAGGCTGGCTTCGAAACAAAACGCTATAGTGTATAATGTACCAGATAGCGAGCCCATTAAGTCGGTCCAGCACTCATTGCTGAAGGCTGCAAATCTCTTGAGTGCACCTTGTCAGTGCATTCGCCTAAGTAAAAAGGACCTAAAGCATCCATGTCCCATACTCATTAGGTTCGACAGCTGCATAATAGCTGAACGATTTACGAAGGCTGAAGATCTTCTGGCTACTGCTACTAAATTCAAGACTACTAAAGTAGTCTCGGATAAAACAACTAACCAAAGGCAAGCAACCAAGATCTCCCTCGATTCAAAGTTGACCACACTGAGAAATACACCTGGTATCAGTGCTAAAGTGTCGACGGACACTGAAGCGCAGCAAGTCACGTGTATATTCTTGTGAGAAAAATCGGCAAGTAAAAGCGACTCGAAACTCAGTAAGAGCAGTGTCACTGGGTGCAATCCTAAAGTACATGAGAGCACATCTGGAAAACCTGCTGACATACATGAGGTTGACATTGACGCACAAACTATGGCTGACCAGAAACCACTGGCAGACCACACTCAATCTGGATGCAAGCCCGAGAGTCCCGCAGTATAAACTGCAAGAAAGACCACAAAGCCTAGAGTCCCACTCCAGACTTCGACATACCTCCCTCTTAATAAGTCTAATAAGCAATATGTCAGTCTAAAAAATGACAATGCATGGGTAAAAAACCATATTCCCAAAAACGTCATCCATCATGTGAGCAAGAATACCCCTTCCCGAACTAGGAGTAATATGCCTGGCAACGCATATAACTTGGGAATGCAACGTAGAGTGGATCATCAGGATATATGGAGCACTAAACGGAACTCATATAGGCACCATATTAATGAATATTCTCGTCCAAACTCTCACACTATGTTAAACCTCATCAACATAATGAGTATAGATCGACACTTGACCCTCTCAATAACTTCACTCACACGTGTGATGTGAGCCAACATGCATACGACTATGAAAGACCCATGAGGTACAACTACCAAGGTAATCTTAACACAGGGTACCTAGGTCAAGCAAACTATATATCACCAGTAAATGAACGCAGATGCCCACCCATGGATGCTAAAGGTCAAAATATGCAACAGGATTATTTTCGGATGCAGCAAACAATAGCCCCACTCGCTGCACAATTCATCCAGGAAATAGTACACACACTGACTCTGTCTCACCTCAGAGCCCCTCCAAACATAACGTAGGAATAGTAACAAGTAACCATGTTAACCTCTCCCCCAATAACTCTGTTTTACTAACGATTATGCTCCTGAATGCTAGATCTCTCCTTAATAAAATAACATCGCTTCGCTGCCTGGCATAAATAGAACGGCCAACACTAATAATGGTGACTGAAACCTGGCTTACTACTGATATACCTGACTCATAGCTAGTAATAGACAACTACGACATCTATAGGAACGATAGAGTTGACAAAAGAGGAGGCGGCTGCCTAATATATGCCTCTAAATCCACTAACTCCAATACTTTCAATAACCCAACTACTGACAAACTCCCTGATCTAAGTGGATAAGGATCCACACAAACGAAAATAAAATTCTCGTGGGATGTATATACAGACCCCCTAATAGCCCTCAAATGACTGATATAACTATTGGAGAAATACTAGAGCATGTAGCTACGCTGGACTTTGACTACAAAGAAGACTGTGGCGATTTCAACTTACCTGGAGTAAACTGGGATACCTGTACAGGACCTAGAATCCATGACGAGCTACTACAAGCTATAGACGTAGGTGGATGGAAGCAGTGCGTACGCCTCCCTACAAGAAATGAAAACACTCTTGACTTAATCCTCTGTCATGAAATAGAGCCCATCTCGATAGAGGTAGGAAATAAACTTGATAACAGTGATCACAACATATTGTACTGCACGCTACCCCTCTGACTAACAAGTAAACACACACCTGAAAATTCCCCGGTTCACTATCAGTATAGGGACTATAAGAATTCCGATTGGGAATTCCTGTCAGATCTGTTGAGAAGTTCTGACTGGGAAGAATACTTCATCAACAATAACTTAGAAGTATCACTTGAGATTTTCTAAAAAATAATTGGCTCAGCAAGAGACACAATCGCGCCCCTAAAATCTGCTCTAAAGACACCAACTCCATTTATAGATCGCAAAACGCGACTAAAACTAAAGAAATTGAAAAAAACCATATATTTAAGGAATTTAATGCGTTAAACCAAATACATGAAACTCTTAAACTGCTTGAAGAGAAACACAAAATGATGTCACAACTTGAAGAAAATAAAGCGCTTGTGGGTATCTCCAAAACTCATGAACTTTGTAGGACATTGCAGAAGCGTCTAAAAAGCAGTAAAGACAATACAGTAAGCAGCTTGGAACATAAGGGTATAATATACAATGATCCCCAGGTTATAAGTGAACTCCTCAGTGAGTGGTTTTGCAATGACGCCAGAGCGCACCCGACCCAAAATTTCCAAATGACCTGCAAAAGTAACCACAAATTAGGCGAAATAGACTTTAATATACAAAATATAGACTCAGCGATTAAGACTTTGAAGTCTAATGGTAGTACTGGAACAGATGACATACCATC